TTTATCCGATTATCCATTTGATATCCGGATATCCGATGGATAAACGGATAAACGGATAATGGATTGGAACTCTATTACCAAATATGGAACACCTCTGACGCAATGAAAAAACAAAGAAAACCAGCTAAAAGAAACCCTGTAAAGCATGAAAGCAAGCACCCTGGTGGTATAAACATAAAAACGGCTAGTGAGTATAGTCGCACAACCTATATGGGAGTTTATGATAAAACACAGCAGAAGTGTGGGTCCTGAGTTACTGCTTTGTGGCAGTAATTAAATGAGGTTCCTAACTCCCATTCTAAGGATCTAGACTTCTGTATCACTATACCGATAAAGAGTACTAAAAAAGGGGTGGTAGCCTAATTAAGTGGTGTATAACGTTAATACCTGGACCCATGTAAATAGCTCTTCTAATAGTAGCAACAGGTGGCTTGAGATACGGGTCTTTAGACGGCAGCAGCACCTAGCTTGAGATATGGATTAGGCTCTGAAGTAACATACTCGAGGAATACCAAACTAGAAGCAAGAAGAGCGCCCACTTCTAGGATACCAATTTGGAAGTTATACAAGATACGAATTAGGAGTAATGTAATAAGTAATGAGGGGTGGATTATAACTGGTGGATATTGTACAGTAGTATATATAGCGGGATGTATATGAATTAAAAATAGGTGAGCATGGTCTACTGTTGATCTGGAAAGAAACTCCTAGCAAGTTAGAGGCCAAAGGGGAGGTAAATCTGTGGCTAGATGGTTATATTTGGGCACTTTAGAGCAGCCAAGTGAGCTTTGTTACAAAGTTGGTGGGGGGTATAGTTTCTAGAAGTTTCTGTACTGATAAAACCTTGTATGTCTCAATAAAAGAGACACTTAACTACTGAAGATAATAAAGTAGGTACCGTTTAAAAAAAAAAAAAATTCTATTGAGAAATATTATGTAAAAATAAGCTCATAAATACAGTAATCGTTTTATTAAATTATGAAATGATTTTTCTACCTGTCTACTAAGTTACAGTAATCTGCATTAGAACGGGTTGAATAGAACACCCAAATCAAAAAATAAAATAAAAAAAAGAATTATATTTATTATATAAAATAAAAAAAAAGAATTATATTTATTATATAAAATATGCTTTTTTTGATTTTTGATTCAAGTTAATTCGTTAGTATTTAACTCTATCTATATACAAGTTATAAAATTCTTACTTGAATTACTTGAGTTAACTCAAGTCCAAGCTTTACTTTTGGAGGTCTAAAATATTAAAGTGATAGTTATAATTGAAAGTTTAATAGCAGGTTTGCTCTTGTCAACACATATATAGTGCAACTTATAGAAGCAGGTGGGTTGAACTTTAGGCTAGTAACAAATAAGCAGATGGGAGTAATAAGCAAGTGGGTAATAAGCGAGTGGGTAATAAACGAAGCAGGTGTAATGGACAAGTAGGTAATGATTAGATGAGTAATTGGTTGGCTGCTCTGGTGGACTTTTTTCATTTTTATTGGCTGGCAGAGTGGAAGTTGGTTTAGTAGTTACGGAATTACCTTTGTTTAGAGAGAAAATTATCTCTTTCACGACAATAGGTATTAAAGTCATATACATATGTATGTATATACTGTATGTATCTGATATCAGATATGTACTGTATATATATAGTATATACATATGTAGTTTAATAGTATATATACTACAGTACTATAAAAAAATCTTCACATTTACAAATCGGGATTTTCATTAATTAATTTGCATCACAATTACTTAGTAATTGTAGATCATTTTCTCTGATTGACTTGCGGATTATCAATTAAACAATTTCAACTTATTTTCTTTGAATCTTCTCAGTTAGTCAGAATTGCTAGTACTAAACAAATAACAGATACCCAAGCTCGTTATATCGTTAATACAGTTATTATCCTCACTATAGAATATAGACTTCATAATATTGTCTTAAATCAACATGTGAAAAAATTTTTAAGCAATATATTAACCTTGTTAAATACAAGACAAAACTCTGTCACACTATTCCTATTAGTATTTTTCTTCATCCATATATTTACAATATTAAAAACATTTGGGATATTCAACTTCAACATCACATTTCCAACTTTATTAAATACTTTAACAATACTTCTCTTCTTGGAATTTATACCCAAATTAGAGTTCAACAACTTCAAAATAATTTCTGATCTTTAACTAGTATTTTATCTTATCCCAACCCCCTAATTAATAGTCCCAATCGACATACTACCAATTTTAAAATTATACAACTTCTTAAATACCTGAACTGGACAGTAAATCCAAATCTTAATATACCTATACTCTCAACTATTCAAGAAGGATCAGTTACTCTTGAATTAATTCTGTTACTATATCCTCATTATTCTACTTTTAAAAAACAACTATACCATTACTATATTTTATTTCTTGACCAAATTACAACTTCTGATAACTCTTGCCTTCTTGATTGGAAACACATTTTACCGAGACTTAATAAACTCTCTAAGGGAAAAATTCCTTTATAGTTCAAATTTCTTGAAAACTCTATTATTAACTCTTTACATAACCATATTATTACTATTCAACTTAACCTTCTACCTACAAACTACTATAGCTACAACACCGGTCACTTCCACAAATATTCCAAACCCTGGCTCATTACTTTATTTAATAACTAAATTATTATTGGCAAAGCTCATCGCTAATTTACAAACTCTGGACACATACTTATTAACCACTGGCATAGTAATATCACATCTTCCTACTCATCATTATATCCTGTTCCTAACATAACCTCAACACCATGTTCCAATTGCTCTCTCAACTTCAATCTTATTAATAACAAGTGTACTATCTTGATTCCAACTAGTCAAGCTACCAAATATTTAGGTAGACTTGACTCTAACAAATCTATCAACTTCAATGCAAACCTACTTGACCTTATACACTCAATAAAACTCAAAAACACTACCCAGATTCCTTCACTACCAAATCTCACAATTTAAGCCTCCCAAATCCCTCTATATTTGCTAACAGCCCTGCTCTTGATTCTCTCTAACTAATTGCAAATCACAACTTGTATTCTACTAATCTTACTTTCTATACAAATAGGTCTGTTATCAGTACTAATAATCTTCAATGCTCTATGGGTATTGGATGGTTACAAGTTAACAACAATAATATTCACCAAATATTTTATGCTCAAATTTCTTTATAGCTATGTTCATTTAAAGCTAAATTATTCGCAATACTATCTGCTATATGCACCGCACCCAGAAACTGTGATATTCATATCTTTACAGACTCCCAATCTGTAATCTCCAAGTACAACAGCCTAACTTAGCAAACAACCAATATCAAGCCCTCAAACACTCTATACTAGTCTATATAGAATATGCTGCTCAATTTTATTAAATCCTATAACTTAAAAATTACCTTTCACAAAGTTAATTCCTACCAGAATAACATATTTAATAATAAAGCTGACTAACTAGCTCATGACCACCGCAATATATCACATCTTATATTCAAGCTCAGCAATATTTATAATTCCTTATACATTCCTCTTGTAGACAATTACCCTCTTAAACTTCCTACTCATCATAGCATTTGAACAATATACTATACAAAAATTTTTGCTACCTGGTTTTCCCAAAACTGTAGATACAAATCTCTCAGCATATCAACTAGGATGCAACCTAGCTCTATCTTAACAATAACTAAAAAGTTTCCAACTCTGCTTACAGCTTCCAATCTTCTATACTTAAAACATTTAGAATTAAGTTACTTATTGATAAACTTCCTGTTCCTTGTATTTTACATAAAAGAAACCATTCTTTTTCTAATACTTGTCACAATTGTTAACAAACTAGTACTACTTTACACTAGACAATTTGTCCTTCTCCAAACCCTCTATATCATCTTATTTAAAATTCTATACAAACAATTTTAACTTCTTACAAACTTCAAGCTTCTCTAGCTCAAATTTGCCAATTGCATAACCAAATCTCTAATCTTGATAGCCTTCAAACACACGACTCTTCTGACAAATCTTCAATCTTTTTCACACTATCTGGACTTATTCTACTAAAAATTATATATACAATTCGAGTAGTACTCAGCAAAATCGGGTAAAAACTCGATTTTTGAGTTTTCGAAAAAGTTGGGCATCTATCAGTTACACAAATCAGGTATCGGAAATAAAATTTATTTTTAGTATCAAACTTTGAAATAGCGATAGTACTGTAGTACTTAGCGCTTATATATGTTATATACATATAAAAAAAATACAGAAGTTTGTATGTACGTATTTATTTTATTAATAATTAATAATTTATTTTATTTCTAATAATATTTTAGATTTGCCACAATTTATACTCTACTTATACTTAATCGCCATTTATTTTTCACTTACATAGTAGCAACAATTTGTAAGACCAACCCACTTATGTCGCAGATCTTGGATTGTCTATGGTCAGATTCAACACACCATAACATTCCTGTGACTTTGCTTATAACTCTCATGTTATGTATTCCACGTTGCTTTGCCTGTTTAAACCACTTCGCAGACTTGATGATCAGTATATGGAATTTTATAAAGTAAGTAAATATACAATGTTTAAATATTTAATTTTTTATTACACGTTTTAAAA